AAATAAAAGAAAATTTTAAATTGTAAACAAAATTTTTTTTGAATAAATGCCAAAAGAATCGACTTTTTACCCATAGTGCACTGCAGCGCAGCTCAATCGAAGTCGCTGCTTACTTCGCAGTTAGCAGAGCGCATGTGATTGTGTATGCGTGTGTAATGCGAGTGGAGAGTGGCTGGAATATCACTTTTGTAGGGTTCATAGTATCTCCTAGTCGAGCAGTCTCGACTAGAGCACTCTTACTTGTTGTATATACCTAACTGGACATATCGATGTTAAGAGCAGGGACCGCAAAAAATTACTCATAAAATAATTGTTTTTATTTTTTTATTTTTTATTTTTTAATGTTTTGCTCTAAAGGTAATAAGAAATGTATTGAGTATGACTCAGTTAACTATTTAAACAAAACTATAAAACTTACATATATATGTATATATAGGCATTAGCACTTTTAATTACTAAAAGCAAGCTCTTAATTTTGTGTTCAACGTAGTGCCAAGGGCCGATTGCACGAGCTTATGCAAAACGATCGGGAGTTCACACAAGAGGATCGTGAGCTGATTAATCCATGTAATAGCAAATCTATAACCCAGGCTATGGACTTCGTTAAGAATCCTGTGGACTGCTGTCACCATGTGCATTTGCTGATACGAGAATTGCTGCATATAATCGGCATCAAGAAGGATGATCCGAAGACAAAGGATGCCATACTTTATCATGGTGAAACTTGGGACTTAATGCGCTGTCGCTGGGAGAAGATCGAGAAGGACTTTAGTACCAAATCAAAACTATTTGATATTTCCAAAATTCCTGATATTTACGATTGCATCAAATATGATTTGCAGCATAATCAACATACACTGCAATACGATCAGGCCGAGGAGCTATATATCTATGCTAAGAATCTTGCGGATATTGTCATACCGCAGGAATACGGATTGACTCCCCAAGAGAAATTGGCTATTGGCCAGGGCATTTGCTCGCCGTTGCTGCGCAAGATCAAAGGTGACCTGCAGCGCAATATTGACGAGATCGAGGATGAGTTCATGAATCGATTGAATCCCCATTATAGTCACGGTGTCGCCAGCCCGCAGCGTCATGTGCGTACTCGCCTCTATTTCACCAGTGAATCGCATGTCCATTCCCTGTTAACGGTATTACGTTACGGTGGATTGTTAAACGTTGTTACAGACGAGCAATGGCGACGAGCTATGGATTATATATCGATGGTATCGGAGCTCAATTATATGTCTCAAATAGTTATAATGTTGTATGAGGATCCGACCAAAGATCCTACTTCTGAGGAGCGCTTTCATGTCGAGCTTCACTTTAGTCCGGGTGTCAATTGCTGTGTGCAAAAAAATTTGCCGCCGGGTCCTGGTTTTCGTCCACATTCGCATGGTGACAATTCCTGCAGCGTGAGCATGCAGTCCAACGAGGATTCGAACCCTTCACGTATCGAAGAGGAAAACGATTCAGTTTCTGGAGATGAACAACAGGGCAAGAAGCGCACCGTATGAATTTTCATATATATCACGAGCAAATCAGTTGATTCTTATAGCTAAAACTTTTTCTATCTTGCTCCAATTTCAGTGCCCCCTGCGCAGCTCAGCAAACTCCTTTGGTTTTAATCGACTGGAATTGCGCTCCAAACAGGGCAAGTCGAAGCCTATTCCGATTGGCGCCCATCATACAGTAAGCGGGCATGAGGCAATGGATCTGGCCAAGCGACTAAATGAAGAGCTTGCTTCGCAGCATCAACAGCAGCTGCAGAGCCAACATCAAAAGCATCATCAGCAGCAACTGCGACCTATTAGTCCCGATATACGAGCTGTGAGTCCAGACTGTGAGCCGCGGTCGCGCAGCTTTGACCAGCGTGGGTCGCCGACGGCCAATCGTGGCAAGGAGGCGGGTATGTATGTGAGCGGTATGCGCGTTGCAATATAATACCAAAAAGTGCTAATTGCTCAGTGGCTACTGAGTTTTATTGGCGGGCTATATTTTCCATTTCTATTTTAAACTTGATTTAATTTTTACATTCGTTGCTTTATCGTTCTTTTTAATAATGTTTTTTTTTTAATGCTCCTACTGTTATTTAAATTGTTTTAATTTATCTTAAAATTTTGTTTCTATTGGTTTTGATCACACACTGACTAAATCAACTAATGTTCCACGTTAATCGTCTTCAACTCAGGTGGTTTATCAAACTAACAATAAATGTGTTGGCTATATTTTTAATTATTTGCTTTCCTTTGCATGCCAATAGTGTGCGTGTTTTAAAAATCTCTCAGTTTTCTAACTTTCGCAATCTCCATAGAAAGAAGATAAAATCCCGTAGGAAAAGAAAGAAAACCTAAATCCAATTATAGTCCATAGACATTAGTAAGCGTTGAATGTAACATTCAGAATAAGATACAAAGGAACAAAATATCAATAGATGATTTACTTCCAGAAGATTTTCTATAATTCATATTATTATACTCATAAAACTTGTTTATACTCATTCACGAAAGTGAAATGAGTATATTAGTTTTATGATATGTCCGTCTTGCTGTCCGTCCGTCGGTCCGTATAACCGCAGTTTATTTCGGCGCTATTGAAGCTAGAGACTTGAAATTTGGAACACATACT